GTAGGAATTGTCAATTTTACGAACAGGGCACCAGAGCACCCCTGAGTCATCCCATGACATTGGTTTCCAATGTCATGGGAACCAATGTGTTTCTTTTAACATCAATGGAGCTATATGTGTGGTTTTTAAAAAAAACCCTCACCTAGACTCTTTGAAGGTGTCTGGTAGTGTAGTATTTTCAGAATTTAGCTTATGTTTTAGGTGATAATTATTTTATTCATTTTGGCATATCAACTTCTTTTCTCACAATCATTTTGTACATAGAGCACAATTTTGGAGAAGCAGTTGCTTCTGTTTTCAGCTTTTGTAAAAATTACTTCACCACGAGTTCACTCCCAAATACACTCTTTATCTTAGCAAGTGAGAATCTCAATTACCTCTTTTGCTCTAAGGGTGGAACGACGTATTTCTTCTGTCACAGTTTAAATTATGTATTTATTATTCTGTATGGCGCATCCTCATCGAGGGTCAAATAAAAGCGTTGTAATGTTTTTGTCATAAAAAACCATTTCTCATCAATGTGCAAGACATTTTTAAAACTCTTGAAGGTTGGGTTTAAGGGGATACTGGATTCTTCTAACTGCTGCAAACAAAACATCATCCTTTGCTTCTTATTTGCATCAGTAAGTGTGGGCTTAATTGCATTAGTGTGACTTCGAATAATACCTCGTTTCACCCAATTGTGAATTGTGGATTTTGAGATCCCCCTTGCTGATGCTAGTGCTCTTATGCTGGTTCTCCTCTTCAATGGAACTTCTAAAATGGACTCCAAGTCCACTATCGCTCTCTTCCTGCCAACATTTCTTGGCATTCTACTTCTTACGTCAATGCAACTGCTTGTTTGTAGTTGTTCTTTAGCTGTTGTCCACAACAAAGTGATTGTCCTTCTACTAACATTGAACTCAGCAACCACACTTTTGACAGAACCCTCTGAGCAGTTTGCGTGCCCATGATGTTTGTTTTTGCTTGTAGTAGCAACTTGTCGATAATTCCTTGTCGTTCCAAGTTTGATATCTTTTTTTTCCTTTTACCTTGTGTGTTTTCTTCATCTGTGTGCAGTGTCTGTGTTGGTATTGACAGTTCCATCCCGGAGATTGATATGGCTGTGAAGACAGCACTAGAAAAGGGAAAAAGAAAAGTTCCCTCACATGGTAGGAAGAGAAGGAAGCCTGGAGACAAAAATTCTCACATGGCGGGAACAAACAAAGACAAAAAGGAAGAATTTGGCAATGAACAAAAAAAAGAAGAACCTGGCACTGGAGAAGGAAACTAAGAATGATGCAGTGCTGGAAATCTAAAAATGGAAAGTACTTATAGGCTTTACATTTGGGTGGGAACTTTTAACTTAGTGGAGGGAAATGAATTTTTTTTGCTAATTTGGGCACTCAAAAGTGCCGTGTAATGTGGAGTAAGGAAGATTTTTAATCATTGCAATGTACTTTTACTTTTGACATTTTAATCATTATGTATCAAATCAAAAAAGTTTCTCTTCCTTTTTTCTTTTGCAGATATCAAAAAAGTTTCTCTTCCCAACCCACTAAAGGGTAATATGGGAAAGTCAAAGACAATTTCAATTTTTCTTAAAGTGTGTGCCGGGTCAAACCGGGAAGTTCTTTTTTGGACAGAGGGAGTATATTTTTCTATTCATTTTTTCTACTCATTTGATAAAATAAAATAATTATGTCACATCTTATTTTCTAGAACATCCGATGTACTCTCTCTGTATAAAAAAAAGTCGAATATTGGTGTTTACGAAGTTTGATTGAAATTATGTTTAATTCAATTTATTTTACAATTGGTAAGAAATTTAAAAATAAAATTTATATATTTTGAAACCATATCAAAAGTTTTACAAAACAAAAGTGACAAGACTTTTTATTTTTTTAAATGGGTCAAGAACATGGTTAAAGTTTAAATTTCTGAATAATAAACAGATAATTAAAATTGAAAAAAGATAATAAATTTTATATATATATATATATATATATATTATTTTTTAATTTCATCCTAATTCACAAATAAAATAAATTGAACATGGCCATGTTTGTGCTGGCTAAACGTCCAAAGTCTAGTAGTCTACGAAGTAATACTCAGTCTTCAAACCCAGCCCATATATACAAAGTACTGCACAGTCCACAAGGGCACAATAGTAAATTCAGACACTTATTTTTCAATTCCTTAATTGGCCGAGCCAATTGAATTTTGAGCGAGCATTCAATCAAAATAACCTCCCGGAATTTGAACGCAACGGTCTGAATTTTTTCCACCCCAAGAATTCAAAGCCTTCTCCTTCCCCTTCAGCAGCACAAGGAGAAAGATGGGTGTGAAGAACCTGTGGGACATCTTGGATTCTTGCAAGAAAACTCTTCCCCTTCACCATCTCCAGTAAGTTCTTCACCCTGGCATTCTACTGCACACCCATCGTTTACTACTGTATAAAATAAAGATTTTTAATTGTGTTGGTAACTGATTGTGTGTATTTCATTTCCTCTATAAACCCAAAAAAAAGGAATAAGAGGGTGTGCGTAGATCTGTCTTGCTGGATGGTTCAGCTCCTCAAAGTAAACAAATCCTATTGCGCCCACCAAGAAAAGGTTTACCTTAGATGTCTCTTCCATCGCCTCAGAGCTCTCATTGCTTTGAATTGCACCATCATCTTTGTTTCTGGTACAATACCCCTCTCTTTCTTCTCCCCTCTTCGATCTCTCATAAACAACTTGTGGCGAATGATAAAAAATCACTTCATATGTTATAGATTCAAAGCAAAGATTTTTTGGGGTTAAGCTTTACAAGTAATGCTGAAAGAATACAGAGTGATGTCAATACAGACCTTTCATTTGTGATTATAGTAACTTGAAGTACCAAGTCAGTAGGCTTAAAGCATTAAGTCTAAATAATCCATCTTTTGATACTTGATGATATGAACTGTCGAATTGCTATCCGTTTTGGTTTGGAATGTTCATATTACTTGGGGGAACATTTCAATCTCTTTCCTCACACTGATTTTTTTTGCAAGATGGGGCAATTCCTGCCATCAAAACGGCAACTTACAGACGTAGATTAAATGTAAGTGGGAAAAGGTTTGTTTAGTTATATAACACTGTTTTGTTGTGCCCATTTACTATGTTATCAGTGTTTGTTATAACGTAGCTTTAAACAATGCAGCTTTCTCAGGAGGATCCAAATCTACAGAAACTTTCTTCAATTAAAAGAAATCGTGGGTCTGAATTTTCGTGCGTGATAAAAGAGGCCAAAGTTCTAGGGAAGGCACTTGGCATTCCTTGCTTAGATGGGTAAGGTTATGTCTTGGAAGAACATTCTTTTTCACCTTGACATAGCTGTGTGAATAAAAATCTGAAATGTTTATGCCTTTTATGGTCCATTCTTATTATCTTCTTGTGGGACATTCTCAGGGTTGAAGAGGCTGAAGCACAATGTGCATTACTAAACTCGGAATCATTATGTGTGAGTATATGAAATTGAGTTACCACTGAAAAATCATTAGGCATCACTCTCTTGTTATTCTTTTCCTGTCATTTACGGTACCAAAGTATCAGTATGCTAACTTTGACTTTGTTACAATCATCAGGATGGATGTTTTACTTCAGATTCGGATGCATTCCTGTTTGGAGCGAGGACTGTGTATAGGGATATTTGCCTTGGTAAGATTAAAATATGTTGCGTTTCTTTGTTGAAGAGATTGTACCCAATCGGCTAAATGTAAATCATCAAATATTAGGTTTACTTCTCCTAATCTCCTATTGGGATGACCTTTTAGGATGTAACCACAAGTCTTAATTTAATAATCACCCACATTGTCTTTTAGTATGACAGCATACTAATACTCTTAAGTATTTGCAACTATTTAGGTGAAGGAGGCTATGTGGTTTGCTATGAAATGGATGATATTGAAAGAAAACTTGGGTTTGGTAGGAATTCCCTGGTAAAGTGTTCGTCTTTTCTGTCTTTGGCAGTTATTTTGGCCTCCATAACTCTTCTTGTTCTCAGTCCTCACTCTCTTGAAGTTCTTTCGTGGAGAATTCTCAGATTCTAATTGTGAATTCTTTGTCATGTAACGTGAAAGCTATTCATAATCATTTGCACTGCTGCTTATTTTCCAGATTACTCTTGCTGTTATCCTTGGAGGGGATTACTCACAAGGAGTTCATGGGATTGGCAGGGTACATCGTCTTCCAATCTTTATTAGATTGCTGTTTCTTAACATACTTGTTCTTCAATGATTGAATCAGTTCTTGTATTTGCATACAGGATTCTGCTTGTCAGATTGTTAAATCATTAGGTGACAGTTCTGTTCTCCAACGGATAACAACCGAAGGATTATTATCTTTTGTAAAGAAGAGTAAAAAGTCAAGAACGTACGTGCAATCTGATGACAAAGAGAACTTTCCTTTTTATAAAGACGGCCCGAAAGGTTATTTCACTTTCTCTTCTCTTTTTACAGATCTTTGTCAACTAGGCGCCGTTTGGTAATATTTTTGTTTACTATTTATCCGAGAGGAAAAAATAGTAAAATGTAACAGAAAACATTACCAAACAAGCCCAACTCGGCTAATGTATGCATCTCATATGTATGCATCAAAACATTTCTGTACGTAGGAAGTGAATGTGATTTACAAAGGGATAAAGAAGTGCTTCGGGTGATAAATGCTTATTTGAAACCTAAGTGTCATTCTGTGGACTCTGAGATTGTGCACAGGTAAACTTCTGTTATTCATTATTACGTAGTATTTTTTTATAGCATTGCTGATGTGATATTCATGGGCTGTAAAATTTTTGCTTTTTTTCAGCGTTCTTGCACTATATCCGTTTCAAAGAAGTGTGTTTCAGCAGATATGTGCAAAATACTTTGAATGGCCTCCTGAGAAAACAGGTAAAAATCTGATCTTCAGATCCATTTGGTACCCATTGCTGAAGAAGAAGTCACTAATCCTTTCTTGCTTGTGCCTTTTATATATGGCTCAGATGAGTACATCCTTCCTAAGATTGCAGAAAGAGAACTAAGGCGTTTCTCGAATCTTCGTTCTGCTTCCTCAAATTTAGGACTCCGAGTTTCTCTCAATGAGGTATCTCTACTTGTTTGTCTTGGTTGTGTTACTACAGAGTATTATAGTCTGTTTGACATTGTTGTATTGGCAGTGGAATAAGTTTGTGTTTGGTGAATAAACAACGAAGCCTGCCAAACAGGCTCCTAGTTTTCGTGCATTACGTTTCGTATATGTTATGCCATTTGAATATACTCCACTAGCCAAGGTTTCACGACAGTTCCCAAATTGAAGTTCTTTCTTTGTTAAAATTCATGAACAGATGCCAATTAAGTGTCCTGTCTCTAGCATTGTCAAGGAAAGAAAAGCTCAGGGAAGAGACTATTTTGAGGTCTCTTGGGAAGCAGTTCAGGGACTAGAGACCTCCACAGTTCCAGCTGATCTTGTACAGAGGTGGCAAAAGATGATTACTTGAAAAAACAATTTTACTGAAAAATGCATTCTTTGGATAACAAGATGTTTTACCTAAAATTGCAATTGACACAAAATCTTGGTTTAAAAAAAATGGTTTTTTTTGTTTACATTTCAGTGCTTGCCCCGAAAAGATCTTGGAGTTTGATGAAAGAAGAGCTGAAAAGAAGAGCAAGAAGCGCAATAATCATCAACCAAGACGGAGAAGAGTAGAAAACACGTCCTCCTCAGGCAACGAAATCAATTCAAAGCTCCAAGCCCTCCTGCTACAAATCGATCAAGAAAACGCAACTGCCTCAAAACAATCAATGCCAAACGAGGCTCTAGGTGGCGTAACACAGTTAAATCCAACAGATAACAACCCACAACTCCACAAGACATTAGCAAGACTTGGATCATCATCTGAAAATGAAGTGACTTCTGATCTCTCAAGTCCTCCTCGGCCAAGCCATGGTCATGAAAATGCAACTTCCATAAACCGATCAATGCCAAACGAGGCTTTAGAAGTGATTGATCTCTTGAGCCCTCCTCCTAAAGCTAGCCATGGTTTTGGAATCTTGAAGTGTCAAAATGTTGATTGTGTGGATGTGATTGAGCTGCTAAGTGACTCTGAAACTGATATCTTTTCACCTGACCATATTAAGAAAGCAAGAGAACTGAGATCTTTCATAGCAAGTATAAGAGATGTTTCTTGAAGAGAAATCAAAACCTGCCTCTTTTTGTGCATTATGTATCATTCATCTTTGTGTTCTTTGCCTATCATATAAGTTAGGGGAATACTATGTGTACACCATATGGGTACACCACTTGTACCCCATACCTACCCCCTTTCCATAACCCCCTCCTCCTCCCTCCCCCATCTTTCCATAACCCCCCTTCTCTCTCTCTCTCTCTCTCTCTCTCTCTCTCTCTCTCTCTCTCTCTATCTCAGATTTTTCCGACGAAGCAGGAGCGAGCGACTACCGGAAGACCAGTCCTCCCAGAGCTCCTTTTTGGTCTTCCTCGTTCTTCCTCTGTAGCAACCCCTACTTCGCCATCCTCCATCGAGTGCATCCGTAAAAGATCCAACTTGGCAAAGAGCGCCTCCTTCGTCTTCTTCGATCGGTTGCACCCATCTGGACACTGTAAAACAACAAATTAAAGGTAATAATAAATACTTATATTTCAATTTTTGGGTTTTTATTTTGTAAATCTAGATTCAAACGCTCAATCCTTCCCTTTTGTGAAATTAGCCTTTATATATGTTTTTTGTGAATCATTGTTTCTTGAACTTGTTAAGTTGTTTATTTCCTTTTTGAATCTTTTCAGGTGCTAATTTTTCAGTAATAACTTGTTGTAATTGGGCATTTTTCATGTTTATTACGAAATGTCTGTGTAGTACTTCTTACAGGTGTAAAATATTTGTATTCTAATTAAGAATATTAGATTTCAAAACTTGTTTTGAAATGTCTATGATGTGCTTCTTGCTTAGATAAAATGTCTGTATTTAAAAAATAACTTGCTCTGTTTCATTAATTACTTGAAAGTGTTTGTGAAGTGTTTGTTACTGGCATAGAATGTCTGTTTTCCAAATAAGGGTGCCCAATTTCAAAACTTGCTATGAAATGTCTTTGAAGTGCTTCAGTGCTTTTTATGAGTGTGAAATACCTGTATCTTAATTAATAGTTTGAAATATATTTCGAGTGTGTATTATTAGCTTAAAATGTATGTATTTTATGATCACCAATGTTAAAGATTTGTCAGTCAATAAATTACTCGTGTTTTACTTTGGTTCAATGGCACATGAGAAATATGAATTCTACTATCTAGAAAGTGTACATAGAAAGGAATATTTTACAATATTAACAAGATGTGATGATTAATTTTGGCAATCCGTGAATCTCGATCTTTTTCTCAACAATTCCTAAGGGATATAAGTTTGTGATCTGTTTGCTGAGCAGTGCAGATTTGTAGTCTTTGTTTCTGGAGATTTATTATCCTTATTAGTACAGAGTATCATTTGTTTGTTAGTTTTTGCTTATGGATCTTAAAAATAACAATGTTTTCAGGTGTTGATGATTTTTGCCATGGAGGGCCTAAGGATTCAAAATTAATATTTTACAATATCTAGAAAGGAATATTTTACAACATTAACAAGATGTGTTGAAGTTGTGTGCTGAAAGATTGCTTCTTGCAGAGAATGGCCGAAGTCAATATTGGTGATGGAAAAGATGGAATCATCACATGTCACTAGAATTTTTTATTCTAAAGTTTTGAAGGATGTAATGTTTGGTATATAAAGTTTGGGGGTGTTACAATTTTGGATGTTTTTAGTTCTTTTGCTTGCTTTAATTGTGGAATTGAAAAGGAAAATTTAATTTTGCTTCGTTTGTTTCTCATTCTTGAAAACAATATCTCATTGTGCTATATTATAACTTACACTTTATTGTAACTACATCTCCCCCTATTTTACTATATCTAATTCTTGGCTCTTTGTAATATTATTTATTGTGTTTTATGGTCACATAGACAAAAACTGTCTGTAATTCATCAAAAATAGATGTTTATTGTCTATGTAAAAATCCATCAACTATACCATGTAATGGAACATAAAGAACATTTCATAATTTCTCTATATTGTAAAAAAATTACAATTAACACAGCTTAGCTATAGAGACATAGACACTATATATATGTAATTCTTGATCAAGAACATTTCATCAAGACTATCACAGACACTAGGTGTCTGTAATTTCAGTGACACAGACGGTAGATGTCTATGTGAAAGATAATTACACACACAAAAACATACTCCGTACCAAATACCAAGTATCCAAAAGATCATATACCAACATACTATTCAAATAAAAAATGGTTTGGTTGATGAACATCGACAACGACAATAGGTGAAAGATATCCAACAACAGTAGGTGAGAAACACCCTCCGGCTAGAGCACCGGCAATGATTTAGAAGATATCCAACAACGGCGGTGTGCAGGGAAAGCAGGTAGGACACGATGAATTTTCGGCGGCGAGTTGTAATGTTTCAGAAGACTAATAGTGTAAAAAAGAATCAGGCAAATTTGGTCACACAGACACTAAAAGTTTGTGATTATTGTAATATATGTATTTAATGTATGAAAAGTGCATTTGTCAAATATACCAAATAATATTTCACAATTTCTTCTTATATTGTAAAAATAAAGTATATATGCACAAAGTAATGTTTGGCCAAATAGACAATAAACAATTGTAATTCATTAAAAACAAATGTTTATTGTCTGTTTAAGCTATATAAAAATTAATCCAACAAATATACACATAATGGGGCATAATGAACATTTCACAAGTTTCTCTAGATTGTAAAAAAAATAAAAAAGAAATAATTACCACTGTTTAGTTACATAGACACTAAATATATGTAATACTTGATACATAGACATTTATTATTTGTGTAACCTGAATGAAAATTTCACCCGTTAAATACGCCAAATAATAGAGTATCAAGAGCATTTCACAAATTTAATTGTGTTTAAAAGAAAAGAAAAAAACAACAATCAACGTTGTTTAGTTACACAGGCACTAAAGTTCTGTAATTGTTTGAACATAGTCTGTGTACTCTGAGTCAAAATTGCACCACCATCTCTGCCAAAATCAACTACTCCGGCGATGTTGTTGAAGACGAAGAAAGTTGCGGCGACGATCATAGAGGAGTGGGCGACGACGGGGAAGCAGGTGGTGGGGAAAGAATTGAAGGCGTGGTTCGTCGCCCTACTTCGATCCAAATCTCGACGGCGGCGACGACGATGATGGCGGCTTTTTGACGCTTCTGGGCGCCTGCGGGGAGCCCACGCTTTGCAACTTTCAGGGGGCGCCGGGTGGGAAGACATATGGCAGCGGCGAGTAATGCTGTATGAATTAGATCTACAAAAAGTTGAAGAAAAAAAGAAGAAAAACGAAGGAGAGAGATGGAGAGATAAGATTGAGAAATTGGATGGGAAGTGAAAAAAGAGGAGAGGGAGTAGGGAAGAGGGGAGGGAGGAGTATATGGTGTACGCACATGGGGTACACAAGTGGTGTACCCCTAGCGGGACTCTATAAGTTAACACTCTTGTGTGGATAGGATAAAATGCCCCCAAATATATGATCGACCACCAATGTTTGTATACGAGAGCCATGTTAGCCTCGGTTGTATTTTCATTGATCATTTTAAATAGGATGTCTCTATATCATCAAATTTTACGTTTCTGGTCCTTTATTTATGAGTATCTTTTCATTAATTGTTCTTTATTTGAGGAGAGAGAAAAAAGTGAACAACAAAATTTTCTAAAAGCAATTTTTTTGGGACAAACGGAAAAAGGGTGAAATACTGATTTGGAATGGAAGAAGAAACAATTTAGTATACCCTACAAAGACAAGATGAAGATATGAAAGAAAATCTAAACAATCTACTTTTGCACTATGCTTGGTTCGATAAGTTCGAAATGAAAAAAGAAAAAAAAAGTAAGAAAATACTCCTTCCGTCCCAAAAAATTTGCCACACTTGTTTTTTTAGCACTCGCGGGAACTTTTATTTATTTCTACTTTTCATTGATTATTTGATAAAATAAAATATTCTTGACGCCTCTTATTTTGAAAAATTTTTCATGTAGTTTTTGATATGTAAATTTTATTATTTATTTCTATACCAATGTGTAAATAAAATGAATTGAAAAAACTTGATATTTTACCTCGGTAATAGAAGTGCGACAAATATTTAGGGACGAAGGGAGTAGTTTTGCTTGTTTGGTTAGAGGAAAAAAAGTAGAATGAAAAGTGAAAATAACAAGCTTTTCACACTTGTGTGCATTTTTTCCCCAGCCTCTACAAACTTTTACTGATTCAGTGAAGATTAAACCTAAATGAAGTGTATTCCAATGGCTGGACAGTGGAAAGTGGTGCTTTATTTGTTCAGCAAGTCTTCATGCAGTGCTCAAGTTTCAATCAAAGGCATGGGATGTTACAAGTTTTACAGCAAGATTATATAGAGAGCAATAATATGGGGAGAACTGATCAAAATATCCAAGTGCATTACAGCAAGTATATAGGGAGCAATTCTACTCAGCTAAACAAAGGAATCATCATAACTCAGCTCAATCATAACTCAGCATTTCTACTCAGAATTTGATTTCACTATATAGTATTCAAAAAAGCAGCAATCCTCACTGATAAATTATAAACTTCTGCAAATGTTTCATTTGTGCTAGGTTAGCCACTCAAAAATGATGCTCTTCAAAACCTCAAGAAAATACTAGTATATCAACTAAAATCACAAATGCCGGCCAAGAAAATCCGGGTAGAGGTTTTTTTCATCGCTCTTGCTTGGATGAGAAACTAGGTTTTTATTGCACTGTTGTTTTGGAGCAATATGTATCACTTGAAACTATCTATGACAATCTGCTCCGATCGCCTCATAGATTGTCTTATAACCATCCCTTTCTAAGCACTTGGTAAGATCAGCCTAAAAAGATGGTATAAATGAAGTTAGGAATATATAAAACATTATACACATGTTAAAGCAACATTGCATAATGAAAACCAGTAGCTAAAGATATCTAGCGAAAATGAATAATCCCATAGTTCTGCAAAAGAAAAAAACCCCATTTTTAATATTTTCGGTGATAGAAAAATCTCTTTTTGAGACGCTTAGCAATATACAAGTAGAAATATGTAGCAATTCTTATAAACTACTATACTCTGTATTTATGTTTTTAATATGAAACAATCAAACACTTGGTACATACTCCAAATTTCCTATGTAGACAAAGGTTTATTGTGAAGTACTCCATGATATGGTGTCAGACATTGATGTTGAAGTGTGCAGAGTTAATTCTAATGTTTTACCCTCAACAAATGTAGTCTACTGTTGGCCCTCGAGTTAATAAATTTACCATCTTCAACTACAGAAAATGTGCTACTTCTACTCATACCAAATATGGTGACAAATGTTCCCAGTTGTGTACCACATATGATCAATTTTAAAGAAGAGGCCCAAAAAAGATTTTAAAAACCCCTTCATTTTGTCATTTTGTAACTAAATAACGTAATTTTAGTTCTGTCTAGAGGCACCACATATTTATACTTTATGTATATTCACTTTTATGTAGTGCCTAAAGTTTTAATTAATAATTCCTCCGTCTCAAGTTAAAGTTCCTGTTTACTTTCTCACGAAGTTTAAGAAAAATGAAATTGTTTCATTCATATTTTGATAAAATTTATGCACGTGCAACGCACTAGTACGAAACTAGTTAATGCAGAGGAGAGAGAATTAATGTGGACTGCCCATTTCACTCTTTAAAAAGAACGGAAGGTGTACATAGTATGTACTCAGGTAGTTTTGTAAAACGCGAAATGGTGTACTTTGTTAACTAACATCTTTTTCTTATTCTTAAAACAAGCAAAGTGACTTAACCTGGAGCTACTTCCTTTTGTTCCCTTACTCTTCTGAGTAGGGACTTTTTAGTTCGAATAGCTTTATAGCTTTTACTACAATACTAAGATTATCAGAGGAGCCCAGGTAAGTACCACCCAAAACCTAACCCAAACCCACCCCGCCAGACCCTAGTCGCCAACCAGTCTCACGACCTAGCCGATAAGTTCTCCTACAGCCCTAGGTTGCAGAACCACTCCCCTCCCAGTAGCCTCATACTTTGACCCCTCCAGCCCTAGTTGCCGAACCCATTCCAACCCTCAGCCCAAGGCGCCTTTCCAGTCCCCCACCATTGCCCAGTCACCCGTTTGCCCAGTCCATCCGCCCTGCCTCACCCCACATGCCCCAGATCCCACCAACCAAAGCCTCTCACCCCACCCCCTGCCTACCCCCATCGTCAACTGATTGCCCATTCTTTTTTCTACTGTTTTTTCCTACTGCTTTTATTGACAAGCACTTTGTGTGTTATTTGTATTGTAAGTGTTATTTGTATTGTTGTTGAGTAGTAGTCTTTCTAGCTGTTTGTTTGTTGCTTGCTAACTTACTCTTTGCTGTGCTGGTTTTAGTGTGTGGTGGGGTGGCTTTGGTTAGTAATGCAGACTTAAGGCTTGTTCTCTTTACCCGATCTGATTGATTCTGATTTGATTGGAATAAGTTCTCAAGAGGAGACTAGATGGGTGGGCACCAACGCCACCAAGGTAAGTACCACCCCACCACACAAGAGGATTAATGATCATTAGATGGTGATTAAGTTAGTGCTGGGTGGCAGTGCTATCAACATCGGAAGTGCCTATGCACAGCAGACTGGATTAGACAGTGATGTTAATAGGGTGCTTTGGGAGTCGCTAGATGGGGTGATAGGAGGTATTCAACAGGCGGAGAAAATCTTCATTTGAGGTGACTTTAATGGCCAAATTGGGGGTTCCACAAAGGGTTTCGAGGAGGTCCGTGGTGGGTTTGGCTTAGGGGGAAGGGATTTGGAGGGGGTTTAGCTTTTGGAGTTTGCTAGAGCGAGCGATTTAGAGATCTCTAACTCTTTCTTCCCTGAGAAGGAGGATCACTTGGTTACTTTTGCTAGCAGAATAGGGAGGACGCAAATCAACAACTTCCATGCCAGTGTGACCGGGTGCTCTGTAAGAATGCTAAAGTTATCCCAAGTGAGAGCCTCATGACCCAACATAAGTTGCTGATGATGGACGGAGTGCTATGTGAGGACTTTAAAGTTATCCCAAGGGAGAGTCTCAAGACCCAACAGTTCACGACCCAACATAAGTTACCGATGATGGACTGGGTGCTATGTGAATACTTTAAAGTTATCCCAAGTGAGAGCCTCATGACCCAACATAAGTTACTGATGATGGATGTTACAATCAGGTGGGAGAAGAAGAAACGGACGACTAGTGGTCCACTGCATATCCGATGGGGGAGCCTAGGTCAAAATCCATGAAGCACCGGTGCGTCAAAAAAGTGGCGCACGAAGCACCATGCGGGTTCGGGTCCAACTAACTCAGAGATTTTCTTTTGACTCAAAAGAAAATCTTTGAGTTAGTTGCGTGTGTTCAAGAAAAAGGTGCTTCAAATTCTTTTAGAGAGGCGAATGATATGTGGTCTAAGACAACAAACTACATCAGGGAAGCTGCCCCGGAAGTGCTATGTGTGAACAGAGGTTCTAGGAGCCCGCATAAAGGTGACTAGTGGTGGAGTGATGTGGTTCGTAGTAAGGTGGAAGCTAAGAAGGTGACATATAAGAGGTTCATGGACTGTTGTGATAAGGAGGCGAGGGCATCTCTAAGAGAGGCCTATAAGATTGCCCGTAAAAAAGCAAAGTTAGAGGTTACAAGGGCAAAGAATGCAGCCTTTGAATGCATTTAGGAATTGGAAGAGCGAGGTGATGAAAAGAGGCTTTTTCGGCTAGCTAAAGTGCGTGAGAGGGAGGCCAGAGATCTGGAGCATGTGAGGTGTGTGAAGGACAGTGATGGCAGAGTGTGGCTCGGAGCGACGGAAGTATCTAGCCGGTGGGGGGGGGGGGATACTTCCATGGCCTTCTGAATGCGGGAGGTGAAAGGAGGCTAGATTTAGGTGAGTTAAGGCAATCAGAAAGGCATCGAAAATTTGGGTATTGTCGGCATATTAGTCAAAGAGAAGTGACGAGAGTCATACGCGGGTTGAAAAGTGAAAGAGCTTTGGGCCAAATGAGATTCCCGTAGAGTTTTTGGAAGGCAGTGGGTTGGTTTGGGTAACCAAGTTCTTTAATGTAATTTTTAGGACGGCTAAGATGCCTGATGAATGGAGGGAAAGTGTGGTAATCCCACTGTACAAGAGAAAGGGTGATATCAAAAGTTGCGATAATTATAGAGGCACCAAACTTCTTAGTCACACCATGAAGATTTGGGAGCGTATCATAGAGGCTAGGTTGCGAAAGGTGGTGTGCATTTCTGAAAACCAGTTTGGCTTTATGCCTGGTCAGTAAACCGCAAAGGCTGTTCATCTCCCACGGAGGTTGACGACCGAGTATAGAGCCAAGAAAATGAACTTGCACATGGTGTTCTTGAGAAGGCGTACGACGGAGTTTTGAGAGAGATCTTGTGGAGATGTCTCGAGTTTAGAGGGGTGCTGATTGTGTAAATTCGAGCAGTTTGAGATATCTATGTTAGAGCTAAGACTAGGGTGAAGACTATTCGGGTAACTTTGATCCTTTCCTAGTGGAAGTTGGGATACACCAGGGGTCTGCCCTTCGTCCTTTCTTGTTTGCATCGGTGATGGATGTCCTATCGCAAGATGTCCTAGGGGAGGTTTCTTGGTGCATGCATTTAGCTATTGTATTGATTGACGAGACTTGTGCGGGACTTAATTTGATGTTGGAGTTGTGGCATCAATCTCTAGAATCCGAAGGCTTTAGACTGAGCAGAACTAATACTGAGGACTTGGAGTGTGCTTTTAGTGGTCGAGTATCAAAATCAGAGGTGGACGTTAGGATTGATTCACACCCAGTGCCTAAGAGAAATAAGTTTCGATATTTTGGCTCGATCATTCAGGAAGATGTGGAGATAAACGAGAATATTGTTCATCGTATTGGAGCCATTTCGCTAAGTGGAAGCTGACCTCGGGGATCTTGGGTGTTAAAAATATTTCGACAACAAAGAAAGGTAGGTTCTATAGGTCTGTTGTCAAATTAGCTATGCTTTATAGAGCGGAGTGTTGGGCGGTTAAGAAAGCCATGTTCGGAAACTACATGCAGCAGAGGTGCGGATGCTGCTGTGGATGTGTGGGCAGACAAGGTTCGAGAAAGGGTATGTGCAGCATCAGTGGAGGATAAATTGCGACAGGCTAGGTTGAGATGGTTTGGTCACGTGAAGTGGAGTAGTGTTGAGGCCCTAGAACAGAGATGTGAGAGACTCGTGATAGTGGGTGGGGTGGAGGAAGAGGTAGACCTAAGAAGAATTGGAAGTTGGTGATTAGGAAGGACTAAGGACCTTTAGCCCTTACCAAGGATATGTCCTTAGATAGGAGGAGATCTAGGATTATAGTAGTTGGGTAGTGTTTGGACTTGGGTGGTAATTTTTATTTTCTTTTTGTTGTGTGTGTTCAAGCTAGAGGTCTTTTTGCTTGCAGCTATATGTGTGCCATCATTGCTAAATTTCCCCTTTCAATTTCTTATCGTGCTATGTGCTTTCTGTGTTACTCGAGCTCAGTTCTCTTGGAAACAATCTCTCTAATTTCTACTAGGTGTAAGGTCTGCGTACACACACCCTTCCTAGACCCTACTTTTGTGGGATTGAATTGGGTTGTTGTTGTTACTACAATACTAATTAATATTGGAGTACTCGATATTATTTATAAATTATTATAATTCGAACATTGGACAATGACTATTTGAGTTTGGACATTATATTTATTCCATCTATTCCATTCCATCTTTCTCTTTTCTTGTGAATTATAGTAACTTTTCATTACTGCTAACATTATATCCTTAAAGAGTTTAAGGTCATTTTACAATTTTCATTTAATTTTGTTGAGTGTGTTGATTTATTCTACCCCATATTTCTTATACAAGCTTTTCTTTTATAATCCATCATCTCAAATTTTACAATTTTTATATTACATTTTGAGGGATGCATTTACACTACAATAACTTGTAAAGTTTCTTAAGCCACTTATATAACTTACAATTGGATTGTTTCATGCAAAACCCACTAGCGGATTCAAAGTTTCAAACATATTGATTTTGTACAGCCTCTCTACTTTCGAGTAGGGGTTAGGTCCATGTACACGCACCTTCCCCGGACCCTACTTTCTACTGGGTTGTTGTCGTCGTATTACATTGATTTTATTCCGATTAAATTAAGTGCCACATAATTTTAGATTGTTGTGAAACTTTATGAGGATGATCAATGTGTTAGCAACTTTCAAACTACCCGTCGGATTTGAATGAAAACAACACAAGTGAGAGAAAAAAAACATGTAAGCCATAGTGTGTAAACGGATCCTCCATATATCTTTTTAATTTTTTAAATTTGCTCATCTATACATATTAATGTTGGTATTATGTTTTAAGAAGGGGCTCATTAAGTCCTTCCAATTTTGTAATTGCTATACAATGTTCATACAATCTAGGACAATAAAAAATTGATAAACATTTTTAAAGCTAACCAAGTCTATTTTGTTAACAAGGCCAAAATATGAAACCCCTAGCAATTTTTTTTTGAAGATATGGGTATATTGAAACATCAATGTGCACATGTTCCAAAAGTAGAATACCTTTATCTTGGGTATAAGAGCAGGGCCTCCGTATGCAAAGGCTGTATAGAGCTGCACAAGAGTGGCACCAGCTCGTATTTTCTTGTATGCATCTTCCCCGCTGAAATTCCATTTACACCCAAGGATTAAATGAGTATATATAGATTCACAATATATGCAAAAATCAGGAACTTTGGTTACCTGTGAATACCGCCACATCCAATTAAAGGAATCCTTCCCTGACAAAAAGTTTAAAAAAAATTCTATTATCTATGGCATTGGATTAGATTGACAACTGCCCAATGGATGATGGACAACAGGTGCTAGTACTTGCTAAATGCTAGACTAGATTAATACTTCAAAGAATCTAAAATTCTACTCGGCAAGAAAAACTTCCAAATTCCAATGCATGTTGGGTTGACAAGAAAACAGTTAACAATTGCTTATAAAATGCACTTCATGTATAATAAAAAAAAGTGATCTACAAAATAAGAAGCAGACCTTTGTTAGAATATACATCTCCTTGAGAACATTTGTAGATAGCTCGTACAGCGGCTTTCCACTCAAGCCACCAGATTCTTGAGCCATGGGGTTTGTTTTGACAGTTTCAGGTCTTTGAATGGTTGTATTCGATATAATCTACAAGCATTGAGAAAAATTACCAGAACTCCAGAAGATTAAGAGTATATATCCACTCAACCATATGCAATGATAAAGGAGTGTTTTCTTGTGTTGGTGCTTATTGACTTATTCCTGATAAGCAGTTTTCTAACATATAAGCTGCTTATAAGTTAAATACTTTTTCGTGGAAGTAAAATAACTTAAATGATGGATAAGTCATTTGGAAATATTCATAAAATGTGAGGAATAGCTTTGTAAATAATCCGGTCAGAACGGACTTTCAAAAAACTAGTTTAAAAATAAGTAGGTAACACCTACTTACTTTTTCTCACTTATAAGTAGCTTATAAATCAGCTTGTAAGCACAGAAATATGTCTCAGCTGACTTATATGTTAAAAACAGCTTATATGCAATTTTGACTAACTTATAAGTACAAACAAATGCCCACAAAATGACAACACCGTGAAGTGCCACTACTGGGGTTTAGAGAGGGTGGATGTAAGCAAACCTACCCCTACCATAAAAAGAAAGCCAGAGAGACTTTAGGAAAGACCCTCGGCCCAAATAAGCATAGAGATATGTTGGAACAATTAACAAAAGACGGGTTAGTAAAGGTAAAGCAACTAAACAATAAAAAAGGACGAGCAAATACCAGCACAATACAAAATGACAACTTGAATTATTAAAACCACGCCTACAATAAACTATTGGCGTGTAATTTGAGATTCTTCATCATACATATTAAAAGAGAAAGCAATTAATATGCACACATACAAAGAATGATGCATGCTTAACTTAATAAATGACAAGTTCCACAAACATAATCTTCTGAATCCATAGAGTTACCATTTATTTGGCATAAAATGGAACAGGGGGATCCATAGAGCAGCTTCAACAATGCTAAGTTAAGGTCAGCCTTCCATTGCTATTCAATAGATACTACTCCATCTGGTCCCATTTTGCAGGAGTTAGATCCCCCTTTAGCTTGTTTCAAAACAATTATCACTTACCGTTTCTTAACTTATCCTTTTACCCATAATTTCAATCTTTTTGGGTGGCCCTTGGTGGGCCGAAGTTTTCTCTTATTCTTCTTTTCTAAAAGGGTACACTTGTAAACTAACTAACATCACCTTTAGTCTTCTAAAGTGTACCAAACTCAAGTGCATTTTGCATTTTGGGATGAAGGAATTCGAAAAATAAGTCTTAAGACTCAAGCATAGTGCCATCTCGCATAGTTGTTAAAGGCGTTAGGCGTGAGATCTACTAAGGGGCAAATGGGCATGTTGGTGATGTGTAGTCATCGGCCCAAAGTGGCCCACTTGTAGACAACTGAGAGTTAGGAGACCAGATTAGGGTTTCGGCCGGCCCAAATGGTTTTAAGCCCAGTTTGCTATAACTTGTCCAGCAAGGGTTAAACCCTAATTAGTTGTCTATATATACGATCTCCTGTACTTGTAATCATCATCACTCAATAATACAAACCCTAGTTGCCCCTGTGGATGTAGGTCAGATTAGACCGAACCACGTTAAATCTCGTGTTCTTTATCGCTTTCTTGCTTTATATTCGTGTGTGTGCTTTTGTTCTTAACAACTGGTATCGGAGCCTAGGTCATACACACAGATCTGCCTCCACTGCCAACCCTAGCGACTCTAGGGTTTCTGCCGACACATCAGAAGACCACCGAGATAGTCATCTGTGGGCAGTCCGAAAAACCTTGCTGTTCAGTTTGCTGCTGCAATTTTCGAGGTCAGTTCTGGTTGTTTGTCTCAATCTGTTCTCACGTGTTCTCTGGTCAGATCTGGGATACTCAGAAGAGATG